AAGGAAAAGAAGAGTACCAAATACCACCTTTTGTAATGTTGGGACATGCATCCCTGTAGCCCAATTAAGTGTCCTTGATTCTTGAGAAGTCTACCTTTCCTAAAGAAGCTGGGGAGTGTGGGGGGAAGAAGAACATGGTTTCTAACTGCTCCCATTGCAATATCTTATTATAAAAATGTACTTTTTAAACATAGGTTTCCATCTTGTATTACTTTGTGTCTTGGAGTCTCTCCCTTATGAATTACTTTGCATCTTGTTTGAAGTGAACCATTTTAAAATTTATATCCTGTCCTACTTTTATTTCAAGACTTTACTTAAAATATCTTTTTTTCTTCGCCCTACTCAGATATGCATGAACATTTTATGCATTTCACACTCTTTAAAATGGAGAAAATAATATGCTATAATATGCTAATCTGAATAGTGGTAAAATCTGAGTAGAAATAGAGATTTTATTTTCAAAAGAGTGGACAGTGATGTATCTTTCTATTGCTGTCAGTTATCTCCATTGTTAATATAACATTTATGCAGAAAGACGTGGATTAATAAAGCAACTGAGTAGAACATGAATTTGAGAGTATTCTTAGTTTGATGGAGCCCAGCATAGTGAATGTTTGCTTCTTGAGGGCAGGTAACCATCTAACTTTCTTTTGTATCCCCTATTCCACTCAAGGAGTCAAACACATATACAGTAGTTACTAAATGCATGCTTAGATGAATGAAATGAGTTGAAATTAGCAATAAATACTTATGAAACATCCAATACTGATATAGTTTGGATGTGTTCCCACCCAAATCTCATCTTGAATTGTAGTTCCCATAATCCCCACATGTCATGGGAGGGACCCAGTGGGAGGTAATTGAATCATGGGGGCAGTTAACTTCATGCTGTTCTTGTGATAGTGAGGGAGTTATCATGAGATATGATGATTTTATAAGGGGCTTTTCCCCTTTATTTGGCACTTTTCTCTTCTGCGGCCCTGTGAAGAAGTACGTGTTTGCTTCACCTTCTGCCATAATTGTAAGTTTCCAGAGGCCTGCCCAGCTATGTGGAACTGTGAATCAATTAAACCTCTTTTCTTTATAAATGACCCAGTCTCAGGTGTTTCTTCATAGTAGCATGCGACTGGACTAATACAGTAAATTGGTACCACAGGGAGTGGGGTGCTGCTATAAAGATACCGAAACTGTGGAAGTGACTTTGGAGCTGGGTAACAGGCAGAGTTGTAGCAGTTTGGAGGGCTCAGAAGAAGATAAGAAAATGTGAGAAAGTTTGGAACTTCCTAGAGTCTTGGAGGGCTCAGAAGACAGGAAGATATGGGAAAGTTTGGAACTTCCTAGAGACTTGTTGAACACTTTGACTGAAAGGCTGATAGTGATATGAACCATGAAGCCCAGCCTGAGGAGGACTCTGATGGAGATGGGGAACTTGTTGGGAACTGGAGAAAAGGTCACTCTTGCTATGCAAAGAGACTGGCAGCATTTTATCACTGCCCCAGAGATATGTAGAACTTTGAAATTGAGAGAGATGATTTCGGATACCTGGCAGAAGAAATTTCTGAGTGGCAAAAGCATTCAAAAGGAAGCAGAGCACAAAGTTTGGAAAATTTGAAGCCTGATGATGTGATAGAAAGGAAAAACCCATTTACTGGGGAGAAATTCAAGCCCAGTGCAGAAATTTGCATAAGTAATGAGGAGCTGAATATTAATCACCAAGACAATGAGGAGAATGTCTCCAGGGCATGTCAGAGAACTTTAGGGAAGCTCCTCCCATCACAAGCCCAGAGGCCTAGGAGGAAAAAATGGTTTCCTGAGGTGGGCCCAGGGACCCCTTGCTCTGTGCAGCCTGGGAACATGGTCACCTGTGTCCCAGCTGCTTCAGCTCCAGCCTTGGCTAAAAGGGGCCAAAGTACAGTTCAGGCCATTATTTCAGAAGGTGCAAGCTCAAAGCTGTGATGGCTTCCACATGGTGTTGAGCCCGTGGGTGCCCAGAAGTCAAGAACTGAGGCTTGGGAACCTCTGCCTAGGGTTCACAGAATGTATGGAAATACCTCTATGTACAGGCAGAAGTCTGTTGCTGGGACGAAGCCCTCATGAATAACCTCTGTTATTGCAGTGCAGAAGGGAAGTTGGGGTTGGAGCCCCCACACAGAGTCCCCACTGGGGCACTGCCTAGTGGAACTGTGAGAAGAGGGCTGCTGTCCTCCAGACCCCAAAATGGAAGATCCACTGACAGCTTACACCATGCACCTGGAAAAGCCACAGACACTCAATGTCAGCCCATAAAAGCAGCCAGGAGGGTAACTGTAGCCTGCAAAGCCACAGGACCAGAGCTGCCCAAGGCTGTGGGAGACCACCTCTTGCATTAGCATGCCCTGGATGTGAGACATGAAGTCAAATGAGATCATTTTGGAACGTTAAGGTTTCATGGCTACCCTATTGTATGTTGGATTTTATGATTTAAGTACTGCCTTGTTGGATTTCAGACTTGGACGGGCCTGTAGCCCCTTTGTTTTGGCCAATTTCTCCCATTTGGAACAGGTGCATTTACCCAATGCCTCTACCCCCATTGTATCTACAAAGTAATTAACTTGCTTTTGATTTTACAGCCTTATAAGCAGAAGGAACTTGCCTTGCCTCAGATGAGATTTTGGACTTCGACTTTTGGGTTAATGTTGGAATGAGCTAAGATTTTAGGGGGTTGTTGGAAAGCCATGATTGTGTTTTGAAATGTGAGGACATGAGATTTGGGAGGCGTCACAGGCAGAATGATTGTTTGGCTGTATCCCCAACCAAATCTCATCTTGAATTGTAGTTCCCATAATCCCCACATGTCATGGGATGGATGTGATGAGGGGTAATTGAATCATGGGGGCGGTTACCCTCATGCTGTTCTCCTGACAGTGAGTTCTCACAAGTTCTCTAATGGTTTTATAAGAGGCTTTTTCCCTTTTACTTGGAACTTCTCTCTTCTGCCATGTGAAGAAGAATGTGTTTGCTTCCCCTTCTGCCATGATTGTAAGTTTCTTGAGGCTTCCCCAGCCATGTGTAACTGTGAGTCAATTAAACCTCATTTCTTTATAAATTACCCAGTCTTGGGTGTTTCTTCATAGCAGCATGAGAACAGACTAATATAAATTCTGTACTAAATTTTACTAGGAATTACACCAGGAAAGGTCAAAGAAGAGATTTTTGACTAGGAATTCAGTGCTGGTTTATGTGACTATCTAGGGCTGGTGTGTGGCCACATCCAAGAAAGAGCCATGTTTATGAATGAAGAGGTTGAAAAGGAAACTAAATTACACAATTGATCCTCAATTTTGAGTGTGCTGCAAAATCACCCAGTTTGGGACTTCATAAAATAAAGAGTGCTGGGCCCTACTTCCTGGGTATTTCCGATTTGTAGATCTGGGATGGGAGCTGAGAATTTGCATTTCTAACCATCTCACTCCCAGGTAATGCTACTGCTGCTCATTCAGGTAGCACACTTTGCAAAATACTGACTTTGACCTTCCTTGGAGAGCTGGCCCAGCTCAGGGAATCTGAACTCGCTGCTTGCTCTGTGATCTGCACAGAAGTGACTTCAGAGATTTCCAAGAGCAGTGCAGTGACAGTGTAACTAAGGGGGTCTCAGAATAGTATTAAGGGTCTTTCTTCCACCTGATTTATAGGACTGACTATACTCTGGCAGAAAAAGGAGACAATGTCTTCAATACCTCAGATGTGAGTTAGAATCAAGTGAAATAAATTAAGTGGAAGATAGAATGCATGAAATTGCCATATTAATAAAGGTTGGAGATCCCTAATCTGAAAATCTGAAATCTAAAATGCTCTAAATTCAAAACTTTTTGAGCACCTACATGATGCCACAAGTGAAAATTTTCATACCTGACCTCATCTGATGGGTGAGGTCAAAACTTTGTTTTGTTCACAAAATTATCAAAGATACTGTAGGGAGTTGCCTTCAGCTTATATGAATAAGATATACATAAATGAATTTTGTCTTTAGACTTGGGTACCATCCCCAAGGTACCTCATTATATAGATGCAAATATTTCAAAATCCAAAAAAGTTCAAAATTCAGAACGCTTCTTATGCCAAACGTTTTGGATAATGGATATTTAACCTTTCAGTTAAATACTGTACTTTCAGTTAAGTTAATGTAATTTAGCAATGTAAAATCATATACATATATCTAAGATAATTTATAAAATGTTTATATCCTAAAATATCTTCACTTCTGCAAAGAAAGTTTGTGCTCCTTACTTGACTGTGCCAGTTTATGGTAAAATGAAGAAGGTAGAGAAAGGTCAACCCAGGGAAAGGGGAAAGTCCATTGACCCAAGATAAATAATTTAGGAGAAACCATATCCATGCTCTACCCATAGGCCTTTCAATTCAATTATTGCTATCTCCCAGGTAAATAGCTTTAGGGAGTTTCTGAAAAAGTGGCAAGGGCTTCAGCAAGCAGGTAGCATGGGGACGTATGTCACCCATTGCAATACTGAAATGGAAACTACCTAAAATTTAGAACTCTTTTTATATGCTTCATTGTGCTCAGTTAATTAGGTTTCTTGAATTTTAGAACTTCAGTACAAAGGTCGTGCATACTTTTTTGTGTTCCTTCCAGCTGAATTTCATATAATGTTGTAATCAAGGACTTGAGGAGACATTGGCATTATTTTTCTTTATAGATTTTCTTGGACTCAGATGGATTTTCTCAATTTGCCAATAAAAAGAAATAATGATGTTCCATTAAAATGAACTATGTCTCAAAATATAAAAACCTTTTGGTAATCAAATGGTTAAATACTCATATTTAATTTAATCTTATTTTCATTAATTTGAAAATAGAAAAAAAAAATCTGCTAAAGATCCTTTCAAGGGAAAGCTATAGCTCAGCTCATGTATAAAAAGCCACACAAAAATGACTCTGGAGACCTTGGCCACGTTCAGCGGTCAAATATTTCAATGCTCTGTTGCTCTCGTTCCTGTTACAGGTACATGTGACAGCGCTGCAGCTATGAGTGGAATTTTAAAGAGGAAGTTTGAAGAAGTTGACGGCTCCTCACCCTGCTCCTCTGTGAGGGAATCGGATGATGAAGTTTCCAGCAGTGAAAGTGCTGACAGTGGGGACAGTGTCAACCCATCCACTTCTAGTCATTTTACCCGTGAGTACTGAAATGAGAACTGAATTGTCTGGTTCTATAGCAAAACTAATTGTGTCATTTTCATTTTTACCTTTAATGCTAGCTATATGTATATTTCCCATCAACCAAATACAAAAGACATTTACCCAAAAATGAAATATTTTTCAGGGGACTCAGTAGCTTCCTTTACTTAGAATACTTTTTGCAGTGGATTATTTGACTGTGTTAATTAACTCATTGAATTTAAAGATCACATTTCATCAATAATACTTTCCCAAGTAAACACCTAATACTCTGGGAACGGATGGGTGAAGACAAAGAATAAATCCAGTTTCCAGAAAAATATCTTTTCAATAATTGAAATGATGTTCTGGGAGAAAACATTTTAAAAGGCATTATTAAGGAATGGAGAGTCTAGATTATGATGAGAAGGAGTTTAGGCAGCTGGGATTAAGAAGAAATGTGAAGGCAGCAAGTCTCTCCCAAATGTGCAAGTGTGTGCAGTCTAATGGCTCTTTCCTAGTAATTCCTCTAGTCTCTCTTCTCCAGTATTTAAAGCCCAACAAGAAAAAAAAAACTATGCTTTATTTATTGTATTTTTAAGGTTTTTTTTGAGGTGGAGCCTCGCTCTGTCGCCCAGGCTGGAGTACAGTGGCGTGAACTGGGCTTACTCCAACCCCCTCCTCCCAAGTTCAAGTGATTCTCCTGTCTCAGCCTCCAGAGTAGCTGGGACTGCAGGTGCACATCACCACACCCAGCTAATTATTTTATTATTTTATTTTATTTTTTGTATTTTTTTGTATTTTTTGTATTTTTGGTATAGGCGGGGTTTTGCCATATTGGTCAGTCTGATCTCAAACTCCTGACCTCAGGTGATCCACCCACCTCAGCCTCCCAAAGTGCTGGGATTACAGGTGTGAGCCACCGTGCCCAGCCTATGCTTTCTTTTTGATTCTTTTATTATTATTATTATTATTATTATTATTTTGCCACATTGTAATGTCAGCCCTTCTGTCAGACAAGATAAAGGGAGGTTTGCAGGACTGATATGAAAAATTCTTAAGGTAATGTAATCTACAGTCTAAAGGAAACTGACTAGCAGTAGTTAAATAATCTTTTTAAAATTTATATTTCTTAAACAGGAAGATTTTAAAATGTCTTAATATCATGACAGATAACTGGTCTTGGTTTTTTACTTTCCAATTAGTTTATGTTATTAATATATGATTCTATAACAAAGAATTGACATTGGCAATGTAGCAACTCAAAAAACCTGAATGATTTAAACATATTTTAAAGAGGTAATAAGGAGCTCAATAGCGGTTGAACATGAAATAAATATAGTAAAATCAATAGCATTCCATTAAGCAAGCACAACTAATTAGACAATATGATGAAAAGATGATTGCAATTATTATAGCAGAAAAATTTATAAAATATTCAGGGACAAAGTTATTGTGTGATGTAGATGGTCTACAACTACATTTACATATATCATGATGGTATGCAATGAGCGTGTGCTTTTGACTCAAAAGAAGAGATGTGTTTATATTTTGGGTCTTAATACCTGTAGTGATAATAACATCATTATCTCACAGAGTATTGCAAAGATCAAACAGAGCAAGTGAGATAATACACATGAAAAAAGCTTTTGTAAGCATCTGGCACAAGATTACACAGGAGTTGAGCCTAGATATATATACATGTCCTACTACATAGCCTCTACCTTTTGCATGGTCTTACTCTGCCCCTTTATTATATAATATTGGACATATTTTAAAAATGTTATTTCTCGTGGTTATAAAGGAAGACTTAATTAGTGAAGAGGCAGATTATGTTTCTGGATATAAAGGTCTGGATTTTAATGATTTCAACATTAATTTATAATATGAGAGTAAAACCAAAACAAAATCTTCAACTAGCCAGCGTGCCCAGGCATTTCTAATGTGCCCTATCTAGGAATGCATAGAAAATTCCAACATGTTATATATGAAAATTTTATGTATAAGAAAATAACATTATAAGACAATGAGAAAGGGAAAGACTATTTAAGAAATGGTTGTGGTATTAGGAAATTTGAAAAAGAAGTGATTTAGACTTACATCTCACAACATATGCCAAAATACCAGATAGATTACATGGATAATTTTTTTAGTAATAAGGAAAGTTGCATTTTGCCAGACATTTAGTAGAATCGCTATATGAACTTTGATATGAGAAGAAGAAATAATCCCATTGAAAAATACTTAATATATTTAATGATGTAAAAGTATTAAACTTATCTCCTATTAAAAAAGAAAACCCAAAGTAAAACAGTTTATATTGGAAAAAATATTTGCATTATTTTCTGGATGGAGTATAGCAAAAGTACATGTAATTTCTTGAGATAAACACAAAGACACATATCTCCAAAGAAAATCCACATAGTAGGAAATACAATTAGCAAATATTTTAAAGCATTTAACAACAACAGTAACAAAAAGGCAGATTAAAAAATGCTAATGAGATTTCATTAGTATGAAATCACAGAGACTTCATCCCTTGAAATCAGTACTCATTTCTCCAAAAAAAAAATACTAATACCCAAGTGCTGGTGAAGCTTGCAGTACAAATTGTAGGCACACACGTTGCTATTAATGGTAGTGATATTTAGAAAGCACTTCGGAAATACAAGAGCCATAAAAGCGTTCATAAGTCTCTACTTCAGAGAATTTATCTGAAGAGAGAAACATTAAAAACAAGGTGGAAACTGTATAAATGAAAATTTTTGTGGTTGACAGTAGTCCCAAAAAAGAGGAGGTGGGGAGGAGAGAGAGAAAGGTAACCTAAGAGTGAGGAAGTGATCCGTTAAGTTATGGTAACTCATTCAATTAATTTATTTTCATGATAGTTATGAAGACCTTTTGGCAATATGTACAATGTTTGTGAAATAATGATAAATAAGAAAAGCAGAACACAATATTTTATCTGTACCATCAGGCAAAGTCTAAGTCTTTGCATGCACAAAGGTAAAGAATGGTAAGGTGCCCTAAAAATTGGAAACAATTTGATTTGTTGAGGAAGTAAAATTATGGATGAATTTTTATATTTATTAATTTTTATTTCTGTTAATTTTATATGTGTTCTCACAACAAAATGTCCAACTTAAACTGCTAAAAATTATAACTGTAGTTCACATTGTGTTTATGTTTGCAAAACAGCAGATTGAAATGGCAAGATGAGCTAAGGTATATATTAGTCAGCAAATATAAACTTTCTTGTAAGTTATGTTCAGCAGAGATTATTTTTTTCATTGAAGAAAGTAGACTTATTTGACGATGTCTAAGAAGTCATTGAAGTGTTTCAGCACATCATTTAATATCAGTGGTCGTGGCAATGGTTAGTTTACTAACATGCTGTTTTAGCTTTATATTAAATATAATCTGGCAGAGATTTTTCATACTTTTTAAAAAAATTAAAGAAATGATTTAATAAAAAGTGCCCTTTTCATTTAATAGTGCTTTTTTTCACTATATTTACATTACAAAGAGAGACATAAAGTGGGAAAAAATAGTAAAGTATCACAAGACAAAATTTCTACCTGGAATATTTGTTGTAGAAAAGATCTGAGAGGTTGGGCACAGTGGCTCATGACTGTAATCCCAGCAGTTTGGGAGCATGAGGCAGGAGATTGCTTGAGCTCAGGCATTTGAGACCAGCCTGGGTCTCAAATTCCCATCTCTAAAAAAATTAAAAAGAAAAATAGCAAAGTATGGTGGTGCATGCCTGTGGTTCCAGCTACTTGGGAGAATCGCTTGAGCCCAGGAGGTCGAGGCTGCAGTGAGCCATGATTGCACCACTACACTCAAGCCTGGGTGACAGAGCAAGATCCTGTCTCAAAACAAACCAAAACCAAAACCAAAAGAAAGAGAGAGAGAGAGAGGAGAGAGAGAGAGGGAGGGAAGGAAGGAAGGAAGGAAGGAAGGAAGGAAGGAAGGAAGGAAGGAAGGAAGGAAGGAAGGAAGGAAGGAAAAGAAAGAGGAAAAAAGAAAGAAGAAAGGAAGGAAGGAAAAGAAAGAAAGAGGAAAAAAGAAAGAAGAAAGAAAGAGTAAAGGAAAGATCCGAGGTTTTTTTGTTTGTTTGTTTTGAGACAGTGTCTCACTGTCACCCAGGTAGCTGGGACCACAGGTGCACACCACTGCACTGGGCCAATTTTTGTATTTTTTTGTAGAGATGGAGTTTCGTATGTTGCCCAGACTGGTCTCAAACTACTGGGCTCTAACAATCCCCCTGCCTCAGCCTCCCAAAGTGTCAGGATTACAGGTGTGAGCCACCGTGCCCATCCTGTGATCTAAGCATTTTCAGCCAGTGTGAGAGGAGTAGCTGAAAGAGTTTCTTATTTCTAGAAATGTATTTCAGATTATTTGCTAGTCCAAAAATTGATATATAAATTTTTAGGACATTTTTTATTTATTATATTATATGTCTAGATTAAGGTATGGGCTTTTATTTATATATATTACATGTCTAGATTAAGGTATGGGCTTCTCTGCAATGGTTTTGTTGGATGTGAATCAATGGTTACAAACTTTCAGAAATGTTATTATTGATAAATCCTATTTCTTTAAATTTTTTTACTTAAAAATGATTACTTGTCTTATAGTAAAGAAGGATTTTTGAAGACTATCAAATTCGTGTAGCATTAATAAATAATTTAATTTCACATTGGGATTCTTTAAAATGTGGTTGCCCTTATTTAAATCTCACTCATCTTGGGCTAATCTATCTCATGTATCCCATGTTTCGTAAGCACTAACATGTTGTGTAACGTATCATTTTGTTGTCATTATAAATACAGAAATTGATAAGATTGTTTGGTATGTGTCAACAGCTTTGGTAGTAGAAAATTCCATGCTATTGTAAGCTTTCTGTTAAAATATCCAATTTGTAGCACACCACATTATGGTAATAAAAGCTTCAAAATATAAATCAATAAGGTCATTATGGCTTTTTCCTTGGGCTTCTGAATTTTGCTAGGCAAC